AGTAGCTAAAGATGCTCTTATCTCTTTTTCTTACTGTGAAATAATCCAGTGATCCCATAGTGGTCTGACCATGAACCAACCTATTTGGAAAAAAGCCAACTTGGAGTAAAATGAAAAAATAAAGAGTTTAGACAAGAAAGAGGAGAAAGAAGTGGTTATCTTCATGCTTGCCTTATTCTTGCTGCCGGAATTTTTGTATTCTGAGAAAGTAATTTGTTTCATGTCACTAGTCTGTTCATTGACAAGCATCAAATTGTCACTGACACTGTTTGGATAATCTGGTAAAATATGATATAACCAAATAATTAATTTTGGTTAGTTCCTATGTACTGTTTAGTACCAGTGAATAACTCCTAATTCTTGTTAGAAGATGAACTGTGTATAATTAGAAAAGCGCTTTCTCACTTTATCTCTCAGACTTGAATTAGCCTTTTCAAAACAAAAAGGGAGGGGTTGCTTCTTGAAAGAATTTTAAACGTTTAAGAATGTGCTGCTTGTACTTCTTTGAAGCCTGTTAATTCTTGAAAAGAATGTATTCATTCCTTCTGAAAGGTTTAATCATTAATTATCTTACTTTGACTTTTTCTGATGTATTTGGATCATTTCAGTCTTTCTATATACACTTATGTGTGGATGCAAATCCACATGCTCATGCAGCTGTAACCTCTGCATAAGGACAACTGTTGCAATGTGCATGTGTAGATGCAACTAAGCATTGGTGGTTAAAAAAAAGGGGCAAACAGATGTGTTGAAACTTAAAAATCCAGTGGTGTCAACCCTGAACTGTGCTCAGTCAGGTGGAGAGAGTTTTAGGGATCTGTCTTGGCATGGTACCTCACTTTGTTTTGGGACTTCGAGCATCACATTCCCATACACTTAAATGAAACGTCCTTTGAGCCAGTTTGCACGCTGCCAGTCCAGTCCAACCTGCTGCTACCGCTACTTGTGAAACCAAGCCACAGCCTTCCTCTGCTGTTTGTGCGGATGGTTTTGCTACAATTTCCCTTCCACGTACTGTCCTTATAGGGTCCTTTTTAATGTAAAACACGTACACATCTAGTGGACCTCAGGTAGACATCGTAGCCTGTCATTTCTCTGAACTGAGTGCGGTGAAATGTTTCTAGTTGTCCTGAAGGTACTTTCTGTGCTCAAGTTTTTCTTTGGACCCATTGATGCATACCCAGAAAGGGATACCATAGGGAGGTTTGTTTACATTCTTTTGTTGATGATACGAAGTAAACTTACGATTTCAAAACAGAACATCAGGAAGCATCTCAGTGATCTTTATTTGATTAGGATTACAAATCCAATGTTACCATTTGGAAGGAAATAAATTAATATATTTTCATGCCATTAGAAAAGCAAGAGAAGCTTGAAAACCATTTAAAATATTTCTGAACAAACTGATGGGTGATTTCATTGACTCTAAAATTTTACAGATATCTGTAAATTTTGCATAATACATATAATTTACTTGATATATATAAAATACTCTGATATTTCTGCTGCTCATAGTTGCAACTGCTCTTGCAAAATCCGTCTAAAAGCAATATATTATCCATAAGCCATATGTTGTCTTGAACATCCATATTGCATTATAATGTACCTACTGAAAACTATAACACTCTATAGCAATAGAAGGGCCAACAAAGTGTAACTTTTTTTTTTCCAGTTTATTGATGGTCGACTATCAAAATTAAATGCAGGAAGAGGATTCTCCGATGTTTTTGAAGAAGAAATCACAGCAGGAGGCTTTTGTGGAGGTACAGAATTAATTTGAGTGTACTCACTGATGATGCTTCTTTGGGAGCTGTTGAACATGATGATCTCAGGATGTCCTGTAAATTTTAGAAGTCATTAATCTTATTACTGCTTCATTGTATCCATTCATTCTTTGAAAGGTTTTAGCCTTTTAAATAATAGTATGTGTCCCAGCAGTGATTTGTATCTAGTTATGTCAGTATATTAAATGAAGATATGTTGTTTTAATCCAGTAAAACAATACTTAGATTTCAATATATGATGAAATATCACTATTATTTACATTTTAACTACATGTTTACATAATGTGATACACTGTATGTAAACTGTATTTTAAAAATAATTTTGAAATTTGTGCTGCTGAACTTTTTCTAGATAGTTGTGTTTTCCATAAACATTTCTAACTCCTTTCACATCTAATTATTATCTGCAGTGCAGAAATCAGGGTGATTTCCTGAATTTTTAGAAAAATTTGCTTTCTCCAGCAAATGTGTTCCTCTAAAAAAGAGGGAAAGAATATGACATTTATATATCAACTTGGAAGGAACATTGAAAGTTTACCCTCTTCAGAAATAAAAATACTATTCCATGTGTTGTTTCCTTCAGTTATGTTCACTGACAATTGTTATAACACTTTTCACATTCACTAGCTTACAAAGTTATCCCATTTAGAAGAGTGTGTGCTGAATCCATTGCTGAATATTACAGGATTATTGATTGCTTTCCTGTTAGACATTTATTACAGCTATATTGTTATTTGAGGTATCATATTTGCTGTCAAAAGATTGGATCAGAATGTGCATGACACAGCACAAATACTGTTTTATGGTCTTTAAAGTAGTGTAGAAGCTTTCTCAGTAAATAGAGGTTATGTGATTTGAGCAAATCCACTGAGTTGCATATGGCAGCTTTAGATTGTCTTCCTTTGCAAGACTACCCTTAAATGGTCTTATTTACAGGGGAAAGGATTTGACCCCCACAGAGAAATGATTGAGTAATGCAGAGTTATCTTCACCTTCTGTAAAATACCTTTTTTATGCTCAGAGTACATAAATCCTTTTGTTCAAGTTTGTCACTGCCTTCTTCTGCCCTCTGTGTCTTGTGCTATGATCTAGCACACTTTTTTTTCTTGATTAAAGTGTGGTTACTTATACAGAGATTTACGTCTTTTCTACCTTTTTAGGGTAACCTATGCTGCTCTGTAAACAGATTTTAGGCATTGGGCATCCATTATTCAGATAGGTGGTGTCAGTATTCAGAGCTCGTTTGCTGACTGCAGTTAGGGGGTCAGGAGGCTGCAATAAAACTGCAATAGAAGTTAGATAAAGCTTGTTTCTTGGCTGTGTGCTGGCAGCCTGTGAACCACATCTCACCTGGCTCTGCTCAGGAGGGACTGCTCGGCTTCACTAGCAGTTCTCGGTTAGATTGCACTGCGTACTTACTTTTCAAGTCAGACAAGCTGTATATTGCCAGGTTGTGGACAAATTGCTTAGGGCACATATTCAGTATTTACATAACTGCTGTCTCATTATCGTTATGAAGTGCAGGGCTAACAATATGTATGCAATTGAAGGTGACATTTTGTGACGCTAATGGGGTAGAACTGTGATCTCTTTGCAGAGTTAACTCCATTCAACTTTATCAGGAAGCCCAAGGTTTTTTAAAAAACGGGTGAAATCCAGCCTTCAGAAAAGTCACAGAAAGTTAGTGTAAGCTACAAGCTGTTAAAAGGACAGGTGAACATATTCTTAGCTACAGAGAGTATAGTTTTAAAAATTACTGAATCAAAAGGAAAGTGTTTCTTTAAATAAACTCTTTTCTAATTTGCGTTTTCCCACATATGCGAGCATAACTAAACCAGCACAGAAAGTAAAACTGGAAATTGGAGAATGAAACTTAGATTTCTTTATTTTTTATGATTTTTTTTCCTCCAGTAAAATGGTCAAAACTTATTTCCCTGTGACTATATGTGAAAAGAAATGTCAGCCGTCTTCATTACAGTTTGCACTTTATACTTAAAGTTTTCTTTTCTGTTACATGTATTATTCTGTAGGAGTATTAGTTCTCAAGAGTTTTATGTAACTTTCAATACAAGAATATAGTGATGATTGATTGATTGGCTTAGCACTTGGATTTCTTGTAGAATATATCCATTAAAGTAATTTGTAATCACATGAATTTTACTACAGCAGTCATTTTTTTTTTTGAGTTGGTCTAATATCAATGGTGGTAGTATAAGGAAAACTGGAAAAGTGGAAACCTTTGAACCTCTCTCTTAATAAGAATTTATTTTAAGGAGTCAGCATTTTCTTGCTATAGTTTCAGGAGGTTCAACTCTAGATGAGGGTATGCGCTGTTAACATGGCCTTTCCTGTAGACTAGTATTTATCTGTTTTCTTTATTGCCTTCCCTGAAGTTTCTCTATGCAACTAGAAGACAGTTAAACTGCTTGGTGATTTTCTGTGATATCAGTTACTGTCTCTAGTAACTGCTTAAGTCACAGGCTGTGACAGAGAAAGTTCAGATGTGGAAAGAGTCACTGTTAAGGACACCACAAGCCAGATGATACGTGAATATTTTTGATAAGAAGTTGAAGTTATGAAATGTCATGTAGAGAAAGTACTTACGGTTCATTGAAATTTCATTAACACGCTACCAGTGGTTAAATTTCACCATATTACATGTTATTTGCATGCTACTTTCTCTGGTAGTTCCAGGGAGCCAGATCGAAGAAGTAAAAAAATGAGTAATTTTTGCTTTAGGTTACTCTCTGGAGATAGGATCATAATGATCGTCAGGTTCTCTCCTTCCTAAGTGAGCATTGCTTTCACTTGTGCCATCATTCCTGAGAGTTTGGCTGTCTCAAAATTGCTTGTAAAGAATTTAGTGGAATGGGTGAAAGTGCCTGATACGAGTATAAACAGCTAAGTTTTTTCATCTCATTGAGAAACTTGGGAATACCTTTTACAATGATCCAGTTAGTTCTCAGCCATGTTCTAGGAGAATGTTTTAGCTTTCCACTAGTCAATGCAATAATTCCACCCAGGCCTTAGTTAACTGATTATTGCACAGCTTAAGAAGTTTTGAGAACTCCTGTTAAAAGTCTGTAACATCAAGGATACATCAGTATGGTCCTTTCAAAATGGATAAACTCTGTTTGAAACTTCAGCATTCTTGTGAACATGAATGTCTTCTCTGGGGTTAGTAACAGCTCACAGTACCAGAGTATTCAAGTGACTGATGTACTCCAAAACTTTCTCAGGGATCAGCGACCCAATCTTTGGTGTTCAGCTGAAGCACCTTTGAGAAATAGTATTCATTTCTTCATCAAGTGCTCAGTAGAATTTAACCCTGTCCTTCATGGCCAGCTTAGTGGCACAGTAGTCCTTGGTAATCCTACGGAAGCCAGTAGCTCTCACTTGCCTTTTAGAGGTTTTACTTTGTGAAAGAAAGTAGATACAGTTAATAATTTAAAAGGGATTTTCTTGCACAGGAGTATATAGTTGTGCCATAATCCTTAGACTTTGCTCTTGTTCTTTTTCCTTGGGATGGTACCATCTGCAGTCCATGTCATTTTTGTACTTGAAAGTTTGCCCAGTGGGATCATTATGCTTGAATGCAGTTCATTATATATTATTCCTTCCTTCATGCTGGTGTTTTTCTTTTTAGACTTTTTAGCAGTGTGTTGCCTTATCGTAGCTTTAATTTTTCTTTCTACCTCAATTGGAATTAAAAACTGTGTGGTGAAAAGATAATGCTTTTACAAAGAAAATAGAAAACATGAAATAAGAGATACCTCAGTTTTTTTCTTAGTGCACACATATTCTTATCTTTACATTCCTTGTCTATCTGGGAAGAATGAAATTAATGAATAATCCTCTAAGGGAATTTTTTATGCAGATTGTGAGGGGGGTTGAAACATTTAAAATGTTGAATGTATGTTTGATTGTGTTACATTTTACATTTCTATTTCAGGAAATTCAAGATCTTATCAGCAGTGGATGCATACGGTGAAGGTATAAACTTGGTTAAGTAATTATACTGGCCATCCTGTTCTTTAAATCTTTATCCTTTTCCTTATATGTATGTATGTAATGGTAAAAGTTAATTAATTTGCAAGGAAAATATAAGTACATTCTATAATAAATAACTTGTCTATGGTATATGCAATAATTTTGTGGGGCTTTCCTTGAATATTAAAAAAAAAAAAAAGTCCCATACACAAAACAAATGCCAAAACACACAAGGTTTTTCTGTCTGTATAGTCAGGGATTTTACTGCTTCCTGTATCATGTTATGTTCCATAACTGTGAATGAAGTATGACAGTACAATTTGATATGGAGTTTATCACTTCAGGAAATAGCAATTTCATTAATATGGATTCGTGCAGTTTGGTTAGCAGAAGACCCTTGGTATAACCTTGTTATTCTGCAGGATTAGTAAAATATATTATTTTAGATTAAGAGAATTCTTGTGTGATTAAAGGAGAGAGTTCTTTCTGTCAGGTCAAAGTATTTTTAAGTTGCGTAATAAATATGATAGGAACACATGAAAAATAGCCATAACTTCTAAATTGATTTTGAAATGGTAACAATGAATGAAGGATGGAAATACATCATTCTGTTAGAATGCATTGATAAATGTGTCAGCTATGATAATGATGTACTGTAACCCTTGTGTAGCTGCAGACAGCAGGTTGGGGAGGAAACACAGCTGTGGTTATTCTTACTGATTTAAAAGGAAGATTGTTACTTCTTTACAGCACACTGTTTATTTTTCCTTGCTGTTGTCTTAAGGTTTGACTTGTGTTAAAATGTTGCTAAAATACATTTTTTGTATATTTCAGAAAGGCAGTGCACTGATCAACACAGCAATGACCAAAGCCACTCCGGCTGTGAAAACAGCATATAAATTTGTAAGATCATCTCTTTCAAATAAATAATACATAAAAACACTGCAACTTCCTACAACCTCTCATTCTTCCTGAATACTTAAAAACCTAAGCATTTTATAAATGTATTGCAGAAAAACACTTCAGCCTGTAGAACGTTTTTAGCTTCATTTGTTTTCTCATATAGCACTAGGATTTAGAGTTGGTTCAGTCTTCCAGATAGCTTTTACGTAACAATAGACATTTTTCATTCATCAGTGTGCTGGTTTTGTTTCAATCATAATACATACTAAAAGCTTATTTGAATATCATTTAGATATTTGATACACAGTTGTAAACTCTTCCTGACCTGGTAACAACATGATTAAAATATAGATTCTGAAAATAGAAATTCTCATTTACGCTAAGGTCCCGTAACACAACACAGGCATTGCAAAGTTAACATGAGTATAAAACATTTTGTAAATGTTACATTTATATGTAATATAAAGTTAGTGTTATAGTATATCATTACGTAGTATATAGTGTTAACACGATGTAGAGATCTTCTCTATTCAGAACAGATACAGTTCATGCTAGACAAATGGAGTCCTGGCTTACACAGATGCAGTTTCACTTTGGCACTAAGTGCTGCACTATTGAAAAGATGTGTTAAAGCATCAGTAATGTGCACAGCAAGTCTTTTCTGTCATCTGCTCTTTTAAAGATGATAGCAGAATATTCACTTTTGACTGGATTTAATGCTTATACTTTTGAGCTTAAAAGATCTTGTTTTAAAAGGCTGCCTAACCAATAAAGCATGTGGAATTATATGGTGTCATACAGTATGAAAAAACAGCAATAGTGTAAAATGCAGTGGGAAGTATTTTAAGCTTGCATTTGTAATATATGGGAAAAGACTTTTGGCTTCCTTTTTGCTTTTCCAAATGTTTCACTAGTTGGATGCATAGTAAGTACTCCTGAATAAATCAGCACATCAGTCTAAGCTAGCGTGTTTTAAGTAAAATTTTCAAACAGAATTTTTAATTTTACATCGGTTGAAAAACACAGCAGTCGTGGAGAGAAACAGGTAAATAAATATACTTCATATTCATGAACTCATTTATAATTTAAAAAATGGTTCATTAACAGGTTATCTGCAAATTATTCTTCTTCAGTTTGCATTAGCTTAGACTGTGGTTACATGATCTTCTTCCAGCCTTTGAATTTGATAATTATGTCTTTGATAGTAAAAGTTCTTCAAAGTGAACTTCTGTTGAGGAAACACTGGTAAATTTTCTGAGGATCTGTGTGTATATGGTCTTCATATTTATGCCCCATTTAATTTCTTATGCTGTTGTCCTTTATGGAGCCTATTACTAGAGAAATTAAATATGTGTTTCTTAATTGCTAGATAACTGATTGGTAACCTTGAGTAATGTGCTTGTTACCGTCCCTCAGAGTTAGAACAAAACGCTCCAAAATTCATCCAAATGCTGTGAGCATGATCTGGAAAGTTTAAAGTGGCTCTCAGGTTAGCATCTGCTACATGACACCCCATTGTGCTGTTATTGAGCTTATAGATGTATGATTTAAGATCAAAAAGACTCTCTGACCTCTTGATTCAAGGAAATTATTTTCTTTTTCTGAATTTCCATGTATAGAAAACCGTAGAAAAATAGGTGGTTTCTACATATTTATGCCCTTAAATATATTTTTAAAAGTCCTGTGTTCAAGACAACCTTGAAAACTTATGTAGTTTTTACCTATATTCATATAAGAAAAATACCTTTTCTTCTATTAGGGTTAGGGCTTTTGGTCCCCTCTCCTTCCCCCGCATCTTTTCTTTTTTTTCTACTCCCCCTCCTTCTCTCTCTCTCTCTCTCTTTATTTTTTTTTAATTTTTTTTTTTTCATAAGAACATGGTATTCTGTATTGATAATTCATTTCTCTATTGAAGAACATTCTTGGCTCTGTTTTCTATGCAACAGTGATCCTTGGCTGCCTATTTTAATACATACGGAATTCTCCCCTAAATAGCAGCACTATGCTGTTCAGCAACACTGGGCAAAATCTCCATCTGCATATGAAATCACTTCATTTCTCCTAAGATTGATGTTGCCCTGCAAGTTGCCAGACTGGAACACTGTAGCAGTCATCTTGAAAATCTTAACATTTTTCCAACATGCCTTACTGCTAAAATACCCTTTCAAATTTGAAGGACCATTTCAAATAAAGGAGTGATGTATACAACCATTTTTAGCCTGTCCTTAGTAATATTGGAGAATTTTTGAGTATGTATGTTTTCACAGCATCGGCATGCATGTACTGAAAAAAATCCTTAAATATACAGACAAAGCATGAATATATGAAATATACTGACAATGCATGTATGAAATTTTTGGTAAAAGTTATTGTCCTTCTTTGTATCACGAGGTGTTTAAAAAGGTAAAATAAGTATGGCATCATAAAGCATGTTCCGTGACTACAGCCCGTGTCTTGCGGAGCTACTAAAGTCCTTTTATTTTTTCTAGGCAAAAAATCAGGCAAGACAAGGAATAAAAGAAGTGAAGAGTAAGTTAAAACACAAGGTATGTAGTACACTTTTTTACTCTTACCTTGCTTCCTGTATCAGTTTGAAGCTTATACTTTACAAATCACATGAGATTTGTGTTTTTAATGACTTTTGAAATATGCTTAGCCCTTTGTTCAACAATACATTTTTCATAACGAGCCCTCTGGCAACTATCTGTCATTCTGTGCATCCACTGAATAATCTCTTTATTGTTTGCATATTTTATCATAGAACAACAGAGGTCTTCAAAGATACATTAACAGGATGTATGTTTTCATAAAGTTGATTGCTTTGATATCACAATCGAAGCCTTTGCTTCAAGCTGAGAATTTGAGATGGGAGAGTCTTGCAGCGCAATGTATTTCAGAAGGTGTAGTTGTCTGTTTTGGCTTCATAAGATATGTGGACAATGGCAATGTTTAAAAATGAAGGAATAGTTTCATTTTGTAAAAGCAACATTGCAGAAATATCAGAAAAGATGTTTTAGGCATTTTGCAGCTGCTTTTCCCATTGAAGATTTTATTTCCACTTAAGATTTTTCTGTAGGGAGAAGGAATCTTTTTTTAGATGTATTTTATGCTATTTTAAGAAAACTTTCAAAAATATTTCCTAGACATTTGAACAATTCATCTTTTAAATGACAATGTTGATAATTCAGCTTCCTGAAAAGCTAAATTTTATTTTCTTACTACAGATGGTATTTTCATGACAGTAATGGATTGTGGCAAGATAATTTTGAATGCATTCTGCATGCATAATATGGAGGGTACGTTTGCAGATAATGATTATAAATACAGGAATTTAAATCTGTTTTGTTGCAGGAGAGTGAGGAGGAGTATGGAACTTGCAGCGCTGGTGCAGTACAGACTGCTCCCGTCTACACATTACATTACGAGAAAAGAGCAAACTCAGAAAAACGAAGACTGGCACAGGTAAGACACCTGAAACTTCTGTTCTTATTCACATACATATGAGGAAAATTTTTTGCCACTTACAGTAATGCATCAGTGAATCTGTTCAAGATTTTTTACTGTCTGTGTTTGGATAGTGAGATTAAAAGGCTATGTTTATAGAAATACTGCTATACTGCTTGAATGGAGGAAAAATCTTTTTCGTATTTCATCCCTGTTCAGGGGAAAAAACAGGAGATTTATAAGTATGAATCTGAGATTTAATTCTTAAATACTGTTTTTGATAAAGGCTTCTCTCAGCAAATATATTCTGGTCTATTCACAGATCTGTGTTAAGCTGTCTTTTTTAGTTTCTTATAGTGGGGCACATCAATTTCGTATTTCTAATATATTAATTTGGTAGTCATACGGCCTTTAACCTTGCTGAGATAGTTATGGTTTATTATTTTATTAATAAGTCAGCTAGTTAATATGGTGCCAATCTCTTGTCCTTTTGTTCACTAATCCTTTCTAGTCTTGATTTGAAGTAACAGGTGTAGTTTCTCAACTTTGACAAGTGTTGTAACGTCTTTGGATTAATTTTGACAGTTTTATTTCAAAGATATCGATAAAATAGTTTTTGTAACACTTTTTTTTTCTGGGAATAAATACCTGCATATGTACATATTTTAATGTGTGGGTATATATTTTTACATTATATTGTTATTGCATCTCTTTAATACATGTAATGAATGTTTATATGTGGATTTTTAATGCATATATCTTCCTCATGAGAATAAGTATAGACATTCAGTGCAGCTGATCTAACAACATTTGTTTTTTTACTTTAGGTGTTGCAATGATTAAAATCTGAATTGCCTGTTTAATCAGTTTGATTTTTAATTAGTTTTTATCTGTAATAAATATAAAGCTTGTGAAATTTAACTTAGAACTGATGCAGATTATTGCTAAATGATGTTGAAATTGTACATTAGTGTTAAGTCATTATTTTTAGTAGGGTTGTAAATAATACAAAGACTTTCTGCTTTAAATATTTAGGCAGGTTTTACTTTGTATGTGTTTTCATGATCTCTTAAAGCCAGTGATAAAGTTTTAAACTATGTGCCCTCAGTATATTTTTATATACAGGCAGCTGTGGTGCCTGCATTCTTTCAGGAACTTGTGTACAGTAGATATTCTTCACTGAGTATCAGAAGAGAAGATATACAATTCTAAATGTATGGGTATAGAGCTCTAATGTTAATAACATGAATGCTTCCTAAAATATTTGTTTCTAATAGGAAACTGTCATTTCAATATATAGCAAGTTCCCCCCCACCAAAATAATTTAATAATGTGAGGTACTAAAAAGCTTTTAATGCATTACAAGCCAACATTCACAGATTACTGTAGGTGAATCTACAATTTTATGTATCTGCGTAAATATGTAACACAAGTGTACCCTTGTAGTCAGTGAATTTTTATAGGCAGCTTTTATTAAAGAAATCTGCAGTAATTTACTGATATGGTAGTGCTGCCTACTGTTAGGTACGGGAGTCTAGGGATACAAAGGAATATAATTTACCTTGGTACAATTAAACATTTCTTTTGAAGGCCTGTGTTCGGACAGAACAATTTAACTTCTGTATGGTTTTGTGTTTGTAAAGCTGTATACTGCTAAATCCTCTAATGTCATTGTTGCTGTTTCTACCAGTCATCTTGTAGTTTTGAAAACAAGAGAGGAGTGCATGTCCGTCCATAGTTTTGTTTAGATATCTACATATACACATGCGTGTTTGCATATGTGTATACATACATACATATACATGTACCTATATAGGGTTTGTTTACTAATGAAGCTTGTAACTAATAGCCCCGCAGTTTTGCCCTGCTGCAAACCGAAGGCCCCGTGTCTTCCTCCCAGCTCTTGTCCCAAATATCACGTGAGCCCAGCAGGCAGGAAGGAGCAAATGGCGATTGCTCCCCAAGAACTCCACTCTCGCAGTTTCCTTCACCTCTCATTCATGCTATTCCCACTTTTTCCTCCTCCCTAAAAGCAAACAAACCGAAATATTTCTAAAAAATAGTAGTCTACTGTTACTACTCTTGTTTTTGTTTTTATTCTTGATAAGTATTTGAATAAGATTACATAAATGCAAGTTCTTTATGAATAAGTGGTGATTTTAAACTTTACGTGCAAATAAAAATACATATTTGTATTCAAAAGTGCATGTGTATGAGGGAGGCTATGTTTGATCTAGTACTGAGTCTGCTGTTTAAAAGAAGTGAATTGCTATTGTCAGGTTTAATCCTTTTTTCTGTAACTCTTTATCCCGCAAATGAACCTTTCCACCCAGATTTCTAAAATAGTGCCTATCAGTGTCTATAGCAGTGTAAGGATAGTTCTAACGTGCAGTTCCTGCACTTTGATAGATATTTAAAGTAAGGACCAGATATTAAGGTGCAATGTCAGTGTATTTGAATATCCCTCTGAAACCTAAATAAACAACAAACAAAAGAGAGAGATTGCTTTTAATCATCTTCTTGCTTCCAAACAGGAGGCACCTCTGTACTTTATTACTATCTCTTCCATACTGAAACATTTAAAAACTTGAAAATACAAAGACTTTGGTGTTATATTTTATGTCACATTAGATGCATGCATTGAGCTTTTCATTCTCCGCTTCTTGGAAACAGTTAATCGTAAATACTAACTAGGAGTTACCTGAGATGCTGTAAAACATATTTACTTCGAAACATTATGTATGGTATGAAACTTTGCTTCACTGTAAGAGATCATTTTAATAATTGGTTCGTAACAGGATTTTGGGGTCTGGAAGGACGTTTCCTTTACAATAGGAAGTGAATCTGCTTTTACCCCAGCAAATAGTAGTTTGTATGTGGGTCTGCTAATTAGTACGGTTATTTCCTGTTTTGTTGATGAGGCTTTAATAAATGTCAAGGGTACAGCCATGAAGATCTCCCAATTAGGCTTTGCGTTTGTAAAACCCAACCCCTTTGCTTTTGTGTGAAGATGACAGTTCCAACTGCAGCCTCGGCCTAACAGGGCTCAAGGGAAAGGATACTTCTCTGGTTTTATTGAAAACAAGGCCAGTTTGGCCCAGGGAGAATACCAGCACTGGTCACAGTGCAGAGCCGTTTTTAACAATGAATATTGACTAAGCTTTATCACTGCTGTCATAGTGGTTTTATTGTATCTTTTTTTGCCAGATCGGCAATAGACTTTAAAAAAATTAACAGTAAATCAAAACAAATTATAGCATGTAAAATAGCTGTCAAAACCTAATCAGAGGATAAATAATTAAATGTGTTACTGCAAACTGTAGCAATCAGCTTGCCCTCCTATAATTTGCATTTTGAAAGTCTTTCCTAAAAAAAGAAATAACAGGAGTGCGCTCATATGTGCCTGTGTGCACGCGCGTGCGCGCCCACACAATTAATCTTTGCCTAAGATGAATTGTTCTATCTCTGTAATATTCATTTGAGCTTACTCTTGCTTAGGTTAGCTGTTCTAGGCTTTTTATACATGTGCGAGCTTAACTATATTGCAAGTCAACATTAGCAGATGGATTGCCCTAAGCAAGGGAAAACCACAACAACAAAATCTAGTGAAAGTGGAGGATTGAAGCTTTTTATTGTTAAGCCTTATTAAAACCTTAGCATGTGCACTGCTGTTAACTGTTTCATGCCTAGATCTAATAATATGTCTCTGGTATGTTTTCTCTCCTATGTTAATTAGGTATGTAGAAGATACAAGCAATTACCAGCTAAAATTTTTGAAATAAAAATTAATGCAAGCATGAGATGGCTTCAACTCTGTTTGCGGTATCTTGCCAATGATATTGCTGAGTTCCTTTAACTATTGATGAGGAGGGTACGGCAGTACATGTATTAGGCTACTGTGCATTCAGGTTTTTGCATAATCTATTTTAATTCTGTTTCATTATATGCTCCCAGGTAATGCAGATTTCTGCGTAGACAGGGGCCTAAATGCAGTGAGCACTCTATAAAATTGTTCCAAATTAATATATAATTAAAAATAGAGCATGTTTGTTATGAGCCTTGGTAGAATGTCAGGAAGATCTGTTTGATTTCATGAATATGATCTTTGTAATTTTACTGTTACATCAGGTGATAGGGTAGCTTATTAAAAATGGAGTATTTCGGGATGTCAATAGTCCTTAATGTATTTAGTGGCTAATAAAACATTCTTGAAGATTTCCAGAATACCAAATGAGAACTACGAGTTCACTTTATAATTAGTAAGTTAGCAATGCCCCCTTGTCTCTAAGGAAATGTATCTAATACCTGTACCTTTAGGCATGCACTACCTTGCAGCCGTAATGGAAACTTGGGCATTTGGATTCTAAGTGCGGATTTGCCAGGAATCCCTGTGTGTCAGCACTACTTAAAATGTTCGTATATAGAAGAAACCAAGTGAACTACTTCCCATGACTTTGCAGGATCTAGAGTGTCTAAGAAGGTTTTAAAAACACTTTTGTATAAGGTAATAAAAGCCAAGTTAGACTAAACTTTTTTTCTTGGTATTCTCGAATGGAAGGGAATTAGGATTTTTTTATTCTTCTTTAAAAGCATATTGCAAATGTAGCTTTTGCATTTTTATTGCAGTATATCCTACTAACTAGACAATATATAATTCAGCTTGCAGTAGGTATACTTGGCTTCTGTTCAACAAAGATAGCAAGTGTCAGGCAGGAAGATGTGTTCAGAATAACCTTACCTTCAGGAGTGCCCCATTTATCAATACCCCTATAATGGCCAGTAAAATAAATGACATAATCATTAGCTACAAAGGGCTTCCAGTAACTGATTACCCTCCTAACCTGAAAAAGGTGGTGAGAGTGGGCTATTCTGAAGACTGTTTTTTTCTGGGAACATAAAAGGGGGAGGAAATGCTTGTGATAATGCAGTGCTGAATATACATATGCTGTATAAGGTGACTGAACCCCTTTAAGAAAAAAGAAAAAAATAATCCCGCAGACAGCCCCACAATAATTTCA